GAAGCCCACTTAAGGTTCAATTTACTTTGATTCTTTTTCGATAAATTCAAGAGCAGTTTTTTTCGACGCATTAGTTCAGATTGCAAAATGTTCGCACTATTCGATTCCTTTTGCTATTCGACACACAATGACGCGAGCTTTTAGCAATCTGAAATAATGCGTCGAAAAAAACTGCTTTTGAATTTTTCGAAAATGTATCAAAGTAAATTGAACCTTAAAGATAGTCCAACGAGTGGAATCCGACTGTACCTGTGTCTGAGACGAAACTCGTGAAGACAGTTTTCGTTTTCTTCTGTTTTTTGGTTTTGACGTAGGACTGCTTTCTATATGGAGGTGGCCCAAATGGCAGTTTAATATTTAAATTTAATGCTTTATACTGAAATTTCAAATCTCCCAAACAACTGTACGGACAAGCGGATGTTAAATATTTACACCACATCAATTTTAGATTCAAAAAGTAAGAGATTGTATCCAGTACACGACCGTAGATTTGACGTAGGATTACGTGCTCGGTATAAATATTCGGCGACTGTGTTAGGGAAACCAGTTTTTCTCATCACGGAGACGCCTCGTTTTCTGATGACAAAATTGCGCATTTTCGTGCACAAAACGCACGGAATGTTTGGTTTATATTTATTATTATAATAAAAAAAAAGCAAAAATTGCTTGGAGGAATTTCTTGCTCAAATTTTCCAATCGCGAAATAAGGACCGTTTCGCCGTGATGGTTGAGTAATGCTGAGCTATTAGAGTGCTCAACGCAGATTAGGCTGGCGAGCTGTTGTATGTTGTTTGAAACGAGGCTGACGCGCTTGGCATATATGGTCCACAGCGACTCACGAAGAGCTACTGAATCCGGTCAGTAGCGGTGCGGCTTCTTCCTCCTTCTTCGGTGAATGAACGCTCATGTGGGCTGCAGCTCGCTGCTTGCGGGAAGCCTTTCATTGTGTACTGTAGAACAATGTTAAATGCCACGCGCCGAAAGCACTAGTGCTGATGATGATTATGATGACGATCGACTTGACACCAACACACACGGTGATTGAATAAGCACCGTTCGGCTAGACCGGATGGAATTCGATTTTAAAATCTGTGTTCGGGAAAGCGCTTTTTGCAGGCAATCAGTGATAATTTTGATCACCATTTCAACGGTTAGACATTTGTGTAATGTTCAATAGTGACCTATTGAAAATTTATAAGGTGTTCAGATTTGTAGAAAATTTTCCAATCGATTGGCTTGTTTAGAATCAAAATCCATCCGCTATTGGCAGAGTTCTAAGTGGCCAAAACCTGACCACTTTTCGTAACGCGGTGGATTCTGTCTTTTTTTGACGTAGGACTACGTCTGTGATTTCTATATGGGGGTACACTTTGTGAAAACCGAAAATGGAACATGTAACAAATTATGAAAGATTTTGAACGTTAATAACTCAGCTGCCCCTGGTCCAATTTCAATAATTTATCACCAATCGATCAGAAATATGGCTACGCATCGATAACAATGCTTCCGAATGTTGATTTTCAACAAGAAACTATTGAAAAACTGGTAAATGTCCAGTATTATTCAAAAGCGTCGAATTAACTAACAAGTCCACCAATTACCTACATGCATATGCTGCTTCCCCAGCACAGTCGTCAGAGAGTAGTAAGTAGACGAAACAAGTCGAAGTGGCATTCGCCTCCGATCCTCGGGCGCGTGCGAATAGGGAGGATGGAATTGCGTAATATTTTGCACACTCATCCGAGGGGGGCGACTCTATCTTCGATGCAGAAACGATTTTGTTTTGCTGTGCTTAGCTGCACGTACGATGAGTAGATTTTAAGAAGATTGATGAAGATTTTGAAGATTTCCTGCAAAAAGATGGAAGTCGATGCGAGTAGATGAATTTAGATGCTTAAAATGGCAAGAAGATTTTTCGTAGATTTATTCGCTGGCGTGAGATTTTTCGAGCATCTATGATTGAGATTTAGATGTGTCGCCCCCCTCGCACTCATCGCCATACTCAGAACCACACGCTCCCAACGACCACACCACTGTGTGGTGATGTTCGGTCGTCGAAATTAGTACCAGCAGTAGCAGTGCTTTCGGCGTGTGGCGTTGAAAATTGTTCTCCAGTAACAACGAAAGGCTGCCTGCAAGCAGCGAGCTGCAGAGCCCACATAAGCAACCATCAAAGGAGGAAGAAGCTGCATCGCTATGCTATGGATCGGAATCAGTAGCTCTTCGTGAGTCGCTGCGGGTCGGTCATCTATGCCAAGCGTGTCACCCTCGCTCCAAACGACATACAGCTCGACAGCCTCATCCATCTTGAACACCCAGCTCAGAATTACTCAATTATCACTACAAAACGGTCCTTTTCAGGGCCAACAACAATTTGTATTATTTGGACATTGGTCAAGGTCATGAGTTCCCGCAAGCAGCTAGCTATCAAGGCTCAACCTGTCTATAGAAGATGTGGAATTGTAGGCCTGAATATATTGGTGCAATTAGTTTTTCCTCGGCTTTCATTCCGCACGATTCGTTTCTTTCGTTAAATCAATATAAATATGTTACCAAAATTTATGAATGGTTTGCCACTAAATGTTGAGATAATTTATTGATTATTCAATTATCACACTGTATACCATGAAAAAGCAGCCTGTTTGTGAGATTTTGCCTGTTTTCAAGTAAGGAGTTATCATAAAAAAAAACACCCACTGGTATTTTCCGGCGACTTTAAAAATAAATAAAATCAAACAAAATCATCATACAGAACTAGCTAGGATTTGTTTTACTTAATATTTCACAAAATTGCTTTCGAGTGTTAAGACATCGTCTCCGGCAAAGTTTACATTTTTCCCTCTACCAACACATACATCAGGGCTAGATAGATCTCCACAGGATCTATAGAATCCACGCAATTTCAAAAAACCAAAATGCACAGCATTACGAAAAGAGGTCAGGTTTCGACCAATAGCAGATAGATTTTAATTCTAAACAAGCCAAACGATTGAACATTTATCCACCAATCTGCTAAAATGAACACTCAGTTAATTTTCAATAGGTCACTATTGAAAAATACCAAATGTCCAACAATTGCAATGGTGATCACAATTATCACCGAATGTCTGAAAACAGCGCATTCCCTAACACAGACTTAAAAATCGAATTCGATGCGGTCCCACTGAACGGTGCTCATTGAATCACCGTAAGTGGTGGTGTCCAGTCCAGCAGCAGTAGCAGTAGTAGCAGCAGCAGCAGCAGCAGGAGTGCAACAACAACAATAACGAAAGGCTGCCTGCAAGCAGCGAGCTGCAGAGCTCATATGAGCAACCATAGAGAAGGAGGAAGAAGTCCCATCACAAGGCTAGGATTGGAATCAGTAGCTCGTCGTGCTCAGCTCAGCATTACTCAACCATCACTACAAAACGGTCCTTTTCAGGACCACCATAAATTTGTTAATAGTATTATTTGGACATTTGTCAAGGTCATCAGTTCCCGTAAGCAGCTAGCTATCAAGGCTCAACCTGGTCTCTATAGAAGGTGTGGAATTGTAGGCCCGAATGTATTGGTGAGATTAATCATCGTCCGACCATTTTTCAGAACACGCTGGTAGGAACTGTTAAAAATCCATATAGAATTTGAGAGAAGTGGGAATAATTCGCTTTGGGTGTATATTCAGTCCCCAGAAAGCCAATAAAATTAAATTTGTGTGAATATTAGCTCTCACGAGTTCAATCTCTCGAAATCCCTCCTTTTTTACATATTCTGCACAAAAGATACTTTCCGCCCCGCCCATTCATATAATTCGGAAGGAAATCCTGTGAGGGGTGAATTGAATACTCTTTAATACCAAAATGCACAAAACTTAAAAATTCATAAATAACAAAAAATTCAAAATGCACCTTTTACAGTCGGGTAGATGAATCGAAAATACTCAAGTTGACAGTCTCTTGGATGCTCTTCATCAACTTTCTCTTTGAAATAAATACTACAAAATTGATACGCTTACAAATAAAAAACGGAAAGAGTTAAGATAATTGATGATTGATCAATTAAAAGAACTAAATGTTCACATTTGTTCCGTCCACTAATAGCGGTCCTACGTCAAGCTTCCGTTAGTGCCCCTAGGCACAGACCCTTCTACTTTTTTTTTTAATTGTACCCCCAAGATGTTACCGAAAGACGTAATTCTACGTCAAAACACAAGAACAACAATAACAAATCTTCAAAAAAAATTCTCATAGCCAAACAATTTCTGGTGATTCTCGATATCACAATCGATACACACTTCAAACACTACACTTTGCGTTTTTTCTGGACACGTGGAATCCGCGAGGAGCTATAAATGACATGGACCTGCAAAACTATTTAGGTGGTTGGGCCTTTTTCTGGGTATATATTTTTACACTTGGAAGGAGCTGCGGGAGCACGAGATAGACACAGATGGACCGACGACGGGACTTATTAAGCGAGGGAGATTAATCGGAATAAAACCTTCAGTAATTTTTCCCGGATCAGCAACCGAAAATATACATGAAACTAAATTTCGAAGAGAAACCCTAAAAGAAATATTCGAAATGATCAACTTTTTTCATCAACCTCACCCTATTTATTAAAGGTATCTAAATTACTCGGACTTGTTCTCGCTCATTTGAAGAGTTACAACCAACATGCATTCCTGTTAGTCCTTATTCTTCTTCAAATTAATCACCCAATTAAGAGAATCACTTTATTACACAGTGCGTGTTCAACTCCATAGAGTAACGATTCTCAACGTCGTTCCACCGTGCGATCATGCTCGCTCTACAGCGCTTCTTTTTATGTGCTTTTCATTCAGAGAGGGTTCGCGAACCCCAGGTTGAGAATCGATGCCACAGCAAATGCCTATATTGACATAAGAAGCCACAACGTCTCTCACTTCCGTAATCAAAAGGAGCTCAACACTAACAACCGCAGCACCACAACTACACTTGTCGCGTCCAGGTGCTTCCTTCCGAGGCTAATTACTCCTAACCTACCTAAATCATTTTTCATCCTCTCCGACTGGCGACGGAAGCAAGTTGCAAGGTGCTATCGTATCACCGCTCCAAAAGGTGCAGTTTTGTGGGTTCTTCAATACCTCCTGGCAACTGTTGATGGACAAGATAGCATTCAATCGCTTGGATATCGATTCTGAAAACGAAAGAGAGACAGAGAGCCGTTAGTATGGTGACGATGGGTAGAAAATTAAGGTAGATTGGTCTCTTTTATCCATTTTTATCAATCATCAATCACGCAAAGAGGAAACATAAAAGCAAGATATTAAATGAACGACTCAAATGGTTTCTGATGGAATCTCTTTCAAGAAATTCCATCCCTCCCAGGTGCTCTAAGTGAGAGATATTCTTCTATTGACGTGTTTCCGAGGAAAAAGGTTGAGATGTGGATTGGTAAACAACTTGAATTGAGTTTCCTCGGAAGCAAATGTTTGACCCCTAACTTTATTCAATATGTAATGACAGAAATGGGACTTGTTTTCCCTGAGGAACGAAGAAAGAAAATTGACGGGTTTCAGTCTAAGCCACAAGCACGAGCATACATACTGCCATACCAACAATGACGCTTATCGGTGATATTAAGAATCCTGGTTCGGAAAATTCGCTCACAATCTCTGAACCGATTCCACGGTTCACTACATCGATGATGAGTGGGATAATGTTTGCCTCACTGACCCAACCGAGCACGTCGGTCGTCGCTAAGCCGGAGGGATGGCGAAGTAGGAAATCGAAAAGCGATACACGATAACAAGATTCGATTGAGCGATTTCAAGTGCCCGTATGGGTCTCTTGAAATCGAATGGATTCTTCATCGTTGCCCGAATCTCGATTTCGAGTGAGCTTCTCAAGAGGGAATGTTGACGTGCTTAGAAAATTGCTTACCTTTTCGATTGGCTTTCACATCGTGTTTACAAATGCTTTTCTAATGTAAGGTTTGTATTTACTGTTTCATTATGATGGTTCAAAGCTACACGATGCCATTTCCCCCTCGGCCATTTTGATCGGAAAAACACGCTTCCCCTGGTAGCAACCTACACGAGCGAATGCATTTGTCATGTGTCACAATAAATGCTTTGTGCATTCAACTACATACTCGGTTTCCTCTGCCTGTTGATTCCGGTGACGACGGTCCCGTTCTAAAAATTGCTTCAAACCGGTAAAGGTTGAATATCCGCACTGACCCGAAATGGAAATTGCTGAAACCCGACCAGCATCGTCACTCCCGGTATCCTACACAAGCACATGCACACGTACATGTACCAGCCTCGAGGTAGTAGATGCCTGCATGCAAAACTTTGGTCCTGTTGAAATATTCATCAGAAAATGGAAATCGAATTGAGATTTTCCATCACGGCCGCATCATAAACTGGAATAACTGGATGCTGTGCAACACAGTGCAAGGCAGCAGCGGTAGACGAATGCAAATGCAAAATTCGTCGTTTCTACTTTGGATGCAGGGTGGTTGTGCATCTATTTTTGAATATGCAATTCAGCCGCCATTCATCGGTGAGTTTAATTCGAATAAAGAGTGGAGCACTTTTATCCGGACAATTGTTGCTGCTGCCTTGATAGAGTCGGGACTTTATTACGCCATAAATTTGGTGATTTCCCGTTTTATGTACTGCTCATACTGCTGAATATTAGGGTGGTTCAAATAATCAATGTTGCTCCACACAGCCCAAAAACTAAGTGGGCTTAGAAATTTCGATCTACCTACGTTCTGCTGCTCAAAGTTGCAAATGGCCATAATGAAATTTTTGGACGCCCATACAGATTACTATGCTCTTATATTACGAATTCAGAAAACAAAAGCTCAAAATAAAAGTATCCACCCTCAAACGAGAAATAAAAAATGTATTGCGATCATTAGATATGAAATTTAACCCTCCATTACTAGCGCTGTTGTACTTCTGAGTTATCCATTGTCATTTTGTTACTGAGTTACCAATCGATCTGAAACCAACGTGTATTCCTCAAAACAATTTGTCTGAACTAAACAAGCTAATCTTATATTACAGTAAACCCCCAAAAGTGCGGATAGTACGGAAATGTAAATGGAATCCGCATAAATGGTGTCCATTAGACTGATGCAAAATTTGAAATTTTTGCTCCACAGTGTTCAAACGGTTTCAAATCGGGTCCTGATTAGCCTCCGAAAGTTTAAACTCATTTGATAAGAAACTGACTTGGCACAAACCATTTGAAGTTTATATGGAAATTACTATGGGAAAACCAAACTTTTTGTTCATTGTCTTCTAGCCTTTTTACTTATTGTACTATGAGAGAGAGAAGGATTAGTATTTTCCATTTAATTCCACTACTTTATTTGCTTATCCTTGACAGATACGCGTATTTCGTCTACAATGTGCAGACTTCTTCAGTGTCTTGTACTAATACTCGACTGGTCGACTAGTCGAGTATTAGTACAAGACACTGAAGAAGTCTGCACATTGTAGACGAAATACGCGTATCTGTCAAGGATAAGCAAATAAAGTAGTGGAATTAAATGGAAAATACTAATCCTTCTCTCTCTCATTATACAGGTATTCCACTAAGACGCCCACATTCATCAGGACTTATTGTACTGTTAACAAATTCTATTGCTATTCTTATGGGATTTATTATCAGCTACAAGTTTGCAGAAAATCATTTTTCAGCCAAACGTCAAATTAAATAATTATTAATTGTTTAAGAGATTGATAATCTTATGGCAAGATTAAGCAACTGTATTGTGGGCAACACTGTATTCTGCAGTATGACATAGTAGCCATGATTTTTGTCCTCTATTCTACGCGCCATGAACATCAATGTTGCCTGCTGAACAGTTGATTGAGCATAATCATAAGGCATCAGTGACTTTAATCATTAATAATTTTTGTTCCTTAAATTGATCGAAAAGTGGTCTTCAACAAAGTTGTAGCTGAGAAAATTTTCAACAAGCTTAGCTATCATTTTCCAAAGTAGAGTGAACTGGTGAATTTTGAGATAGATATGAACCGAAATTATGGTTTCTCCATAATAATTCCCATATAAACTTCAAATGGTTTGTGCCAAGTCAGTTTCTTACTAAATTAGTTCAAATTTTAAGAGGCTAATCAGGGCCCAATTTGGAACCGTTTGAGCACTGCGGAGCGGAAATTTCAAATTTTGCATCAGTCTAGTGTCCATACTACGTGGGATTTGACTTAATTGGCTTTTGGCAATGAAAAGAGGAAATCGATGAAGAAAATCGATCATTGCGTAAACGCCCTTATTATTTTTGATTTTTTATTATTTTTGATCAGGAATATACAAGATAAACATTCATAGCGAGGATGGTCACTACCCAAGTCTTGTCACTATTAGGCATACAAGGCATATAAATTAACAAGGACTAAAATGTGTTCCTTTGATTACTGAAAAATCCTGTTCCACTAGTTCTAAATTGTCAGGACTAGACAGAGGCTGATCGTATGCCAGTAACGCACCACGAAAAGATGATCTAACAGCGTTACTGGTTTGAAAAATAAAAATCCATTGAAAGGAACGAACTCACCAAGTTAAGCCAATTGAACGGAAAGGCAGCAATAGTCGTGGATGTGGTGATTATCACAAGAGATCGGATCGTAGACCGAATTTCTCGCTCTCATCGTCTATACATCATCTCCCGTATGCTAATGAAAGCGAAAGTGATCTCGATCTACAATCAACTGCCGGTCGATCGATGGCTCGTACAATAGCCACAATTTAAGCCATTATTTTTCTGCTACCTTTATTTGATATCATCAGCTCGGCTGTTATGGTGATAGGATGGTGCTAGGGTGGTCCTCACCGAAAGCTGTTTTGAGCGTGACTACCTTCACAACGCCGTCGCTACCGGAATGTACTTGGACGATTCGACCCATACGCCAACGCAGCGGTGGTTGATTATTATCCTGCACGATGACGAGCCTTCCTACTTCGATTGCAGCAGGTGGATTCCATCGCTTGCAGCTGGCAAAGGTATTCTCGCTTTCATCTATCCCAGAAATGATGCAACTGTTGCTGCACTAACTGCCAATACCTTAGACGATTCGTCGGTACCGTTTGAAGATCATCTTCTGGAAACGATTGTAGGCATGTTCCAACCAAAAAATGAGCTGGTGTTAACGGATCGAGATCATTTGGATCATCGGAATCAGAGGCCTGCAATTCAAGCAACCCTCTATTTACTTGAACCAGCAGCGTATCCATGTATTCCAGTGTGACTGGGTTATAACCGATGACCCGTTGGAGATGGTGTTTAGCCGATCGTACTGCGCTGGTAGGGTTAAAGTGTGTCATTCAATCCCTTCATCAGCGCAGAACCTAGACACCTGATCTCGATGTTGTCTCTCCTTCCATAATACAAACAATTCCTCCTGCAGCTGGTTTCGGGCTCCAACGAAATTCGTGCCGTTGTCCGAATACAAATCGGTACACTTTCCTCTAACGTCGGAGTGTTTGCAGAAACCTATCAGTGGACAAGTCAGACACCAGTTCGATGTTCACGGCCTTCGTACACATACATACAAAAATGGACACGTATGCCTTGACAGCAACTCGGCGTGGTCCTGGCCGAATATACACCGGCCCAAAGTAATCAACACCAGTTTTCGAGAAAGGGCGAAAAATTGTGACTCTCGATGCAGGTAACTCTCACATGAATTGCTGCACCAGCTTTGGTTTCAACCCGAAGCACGTTAGACATTGCCTGTCTGGCAATGACGGATTGACGGATTGATCCCAACAAAAGTTGTGGACCAGCGTGAAGCAAACGAAGGTGATATTGCTCAAAGAGCATCTTGGTATGTACCGTCCACAAATCATTGGCAAGCACTGCCACTTCGTGTTTACTAAGGAGTTCCACGAGATTAACTCCTTAGTAAACACTATTGCTATTTCAGGCATTAAATTTGCATCACCATATTTGCTGTGTCGCTGCAAACTACCCAAGTTTGCAGCGACACAGCAAATATGGTGATGCAAATTTAATGCCTCAAATAGCAATAGTGTTTTCTAAGGAGTTAATCTCGTGAACTCCTTAGTAATCACGAAGTGGCAGTGCTTGCCAATGATTTGTGGACGCGGGATCGGATAACCTTAAAGTATCTGGGATTTTTTTTAAGACTACTTCGA